TCCATTCAGATGAATGGATCCACAAACAAGTTTTAAACCTCATCAGAAGGTTTCATACCTGACTATTTCTTTTAAAGATGCACTCTTAGGATTAAAAAGGCCAGAAATAAGCATTTTAAACTCTTTGGATTAAAAACAGATGAGATCAATTCATTTATTTCCTTGTTTTTAAACTAAATTATTGACATTATCACTACCATTTATTTTAGAACTATATATATATATATATATATATATATATGTATATGCTATTGTTATATTTCTGGATTAAGTAACAAAATAATTTCCCTCTGGGATTATTAAAGTATTTCTGATTCTGATTGTGAGAAATGAGCATCTTAAACTCTTGAGATTAAAAACAGATGGGATTAATTAATTTATTTCCTTGTTTCCAGCCTGTTTCCCATTCAGACCAGTGGATCCGGCCCAGTTCTCTCTGAATGGGAAACAGGAAGCTGAGGGTCCTGGATTTGGCCGGGCAGCCGTTGGGTTTCTCCTGTGGGAGAACAGACCAGATCTGGCCACCAGGGGGCAGCACAGGCCTCTGGGACTCCCAAAAAGATAAAAAATGTGATCAAAAAGACCTCTAGACCAGCAGGACTTCAGTCCTGGCTTTTTTTGCTGTTCTAGATGTAAAAATATGGCAGAAAAAGACTAAATCTGCCCTTAAAGGTGAGAGAATAAATCATTTAAATCATTTCCCTCTGCGATAATTAAAGTATTTCTGATTCTGATTGGACCAAAACAAGTGAGTTTTGTGGGTGTTTTTTTAAGGAAAAACACCCAAAAAATATCAAATTGACATAATAATTTGTTTTAAAAAACCTAATATAGATCTTAAATTAAACAACAATTAAACCCAACAGGGAAATGAGTGACATCTGTAGCTGTTTTTTAAGGAAATACACCCCAAAAAATCTGTTTTTTCCCCTTTTGGACTGGTTTTGAGGGGGATTCTGGTCTGGGGGTTTTGGGGGGTCGGGTACCTTGACCAGGTGGGGCGCGTCCTGCCGGTGGAGGGTGGTCTGGTCTGGTGACGGGAA